AGCAGGAATTCAATTCTCTGCCCGACAAAGAGGGATGAATGCAATGACGTGCCTATGTGCACGAACATATTGATCCGTACTTTCTACAGCTTCTTTTATGGGATTTCTTCTTTGCAAATATTGAATAAGCCTCTTAACAGTCCACCTTTGATCTCTCCTTTAACTGTTGATAGCAATGATAGTAGCACTAGTTTTGCAGGAGAACTTCAGTTTCCTCTCAAGAAATGTTTCTTGTCAACCTTCCTCCCAGCAGGGGAAGAAGGCATGATCTTGCTTTGCAGGGTATTTTTCCACAACTGGGATTTCACTGGAGTTTTGATTGTGGTGGATTTCTGACTATTTTCAGTGTTCAGGATTATTTTTATCTTGAATAAGTAAGGGCTTGGGTCTTCTTCAAACTTCTCTTATCGATTTAAGTGCACGGTAAAGATTTATGGTTTATAGCATTATTTTTGCACTTTATTTATGTTGGACAGAGGACTGAATTCATTCTTCCTGCCATTCATGCAGCATGATATTTTCCTCCTGGGTATTTTTCTCTGGATAACTGTGTTTTTTCATCTGTCACTTCACCAAGAAATTTAGTGGTAAAAGGAGATAAAAGCAACTGCCTTCAGACAGAGTAAGCCCTACCTGCAGATGAATAAAGTTCAGTGGCATGAATCCCAACATCACTGCTTCGACTCGGGGATGAGTAGATGTGGGTTTTTTCTTTGTTTCTTTGAACGGTTACTTTGATTAAAGGTGGACAGACTGGTATAGAGATTACAGAAAGAACATTCTTAATGTGAAGAATAGATCTCTGCAAATTTCCAGGCTGAAAAACGATAGGGCATTTGAGAAAAAAGATCAGCATGTTTGTCACAAGAGCAACCATTACCATTTTCGCTCCCTTTCTTTTCAGCAGTGCCTGAGCCATGTGGTGGGAAATGCTCCCAACAGAAGAACCGGCTTGACACAAGTAGGAGATTTTGGACCCAAACGGAACACTATGGTAATACTTACATGCTGCATATAAACTGAAAATTGTAGTATTCTTGTGGAATTAAGAGTCTGAATTAACAGAATGAAGCTGGAAGCCACAGACATCCACAGTAATAATCATACCACATTTTAACCAAATTTCACAGAAAATGCGTAGCCATAGAAGCACAGAATCATTAAGGCTGGAAAAGACCTCTAAGGTCATCAAGTCCAACCGTCACACCACCACCACATCAGGCAGCATTCTCTGACGCAAAATCCTCTGCCTAGCCCAACAACAGAATCCTGCCTTGCATCTAGTGCTTTCACAAGTAGGGATGAAAAAGTAGACTGCCTTATGCATTTGTTGAATCAAAAAGCAAATGATGCCATTGGGGAGAATTTTGACACAGGAACAGTCACTTTGTTCAAGTCAAGGACGTCTGTGGCAGAATTGTCTCATCTGGAAGATCCTGTGAGCCTGATGGAAATGCTGCAGGGTTGCAAATGATCTTTCAAGTACTAGAGAGAGAGTCTGTCTTTAATACTAGTTGCTATTTCAGAGGTGAAGTAAGATTCACCTGGTGCAATCATGGATGCTTCAGCTACTGTAATATTTAATTCACAGAGCAGACTAAGAGAGTCTTTCCCAAAATTGTAGCTGAAACAAAGAATCGATGTTTATGTTTTTTTCTACAGACAAATATACTTCAGGATCTTATAACGCACCAACTTGGCAGAAACGAAATCCACGTGCAAAAACGTTCTCCAAGTCTAAAACAACCGTTCAGGTAACTGTTTGACAGAAGTTTTTACAATTCAGTCTTTTTAGTAAAAGCAGTGACATGTCTCTCCCCACCCCGGAAATGTAAAAGTGGTCTTAAAACTTCCCCAGTCAAAACCCATCAGATTCTAAGCCATGCTGGGAAGTCTGAGATTACAGACTCTTATCTCATGTTTCCCATTGAAAGTTTATTTCTTAAAATGTTTCTGAAGGAGTATATAACAGTTTTGCTCTAATAAATTATGTGCAAAATATGCTGTGTGCCTCTTTTGACAACAGAGCCAAGAAGATGTGGAAGTGAATAGCAAAGGAGAGCGATACATAGGCAGGAGAATGAGCTGATGCCTGTGCATCAATTTACAAGAAAAATATAAATGGAAATAAGAAAATTGTCAACTAGAAAATCCAAAAATGGTAAAATTGCAAACTCCTGAAAGAAGATGCTTCAAGTACACTGGTAGGTCTCAAAACTGATTAAAAATTTTTTAAAAGTATACTCTGTGTTGTCCGATATTTACTAAACTTAATCTGCGGTGAGAATCTGACAGCCCAAACGATTTTGACAGACTATGTTTGAATAAGTAATTACTAGGATGAATAAATACCATTAGTTTTATTTTGCGGTTTCAGAATACTTTTAGTGTAAATGTTAGTAGTAAAGGATTCTAGAGAGTAGCTGTTTGAGTGCGAAAGCCAGATTCTTAGGTAGTTTAACTGTTTGGCAGATGTTTGGGGGCCCAGTCTGAGTATGAGCTTGAGATTTTGCATTTTAGCAGTACGAAAGTTGGAGCATTTTCTTCATTGTGACTGTTTCCAACACGAGGATGTATCAGAGATCTTTGAGGGTGCCTTCCAGCTGAAACAGTTCTGTCATTCTATGAGTAATATAGTCATACATTTCTCTGTCCGACTTTATTAAGCATATCTTGCATAAACCTAGCGTGGCAATGGTGTAATTTTCAACCTATTTAGAAATTTTACACTTTAATCATTTAAACTGGAAAAAAAAGGCTGTAGGAACTTTAAACATGTATGCGGTTGGGCGTCACTTTCCTTAACTGAGAGAAAAATACAGAAATCCAGAGTATCCGGTTTAGCTGAGAGTTAGAAAACATACCAAGCAGACAAGAAACACCTTTCTGAAATCAAGGACTAAGTGTATTCACAATGTTTAACCCCCGCTAATTACACATGGGAGTTTCAAATTGTAGCACATGATGCTTTGTGGCAACATTTTATATGTTGTCTGCCTGATGCAACTTAAAAATCTTAATTCAGAGAGATATTGTGTCCAGTTAGATAATGCCTCCTGCCTGGCCTTGCCTTTATCTAACAGTGCAGCGAGAAGAGGTTCTGGGGGGAACATCCTTTTTGCTTGACAGCAGAAATGAGGAATAGAGTTAGCTTCTTTCGGAAAACCCTACAAGAGCTCAAGTGACTCAAATGGGGCAACTGTTCCACAGATGGGATCTGCAGGCTGTGCTGAGCCATGGTCGGATGCCCATTCGATGCCACACAGCTTGGGGTTCCCAGCATCTGAAAGGTCACAGGATTACCTATACTGTGCTCCTTTTCTTTTTAGGGTGTTCTCAAAAACCCAGAGTCTTAAGAGATGCTTTCTAGAGGGTGAGTGCCTTTGTGACTGGCAGGTCATAAAGATCGAGCACCTCCTGGTGCCATTTAGCCCACCTCCCCCTGCTGAAAGGGCAACCCCACAAGCCAAAGCCAAAGGAAGATCGTTCTCTACCAGCTTAGCGTGACGATATTCCCAGCAGAGGATCGGGCTAAGTGTCAGGCCAGCTCAAGGCAAAGACAAAGACATGCAGGAGGAGAAGGACGTGGCCATGAGGACAACACCTGGCTGATCCGGGATTGTTGCGGAACCACAGCCTCAGCACATTCCCTCTCCCTTTGCCCTGGGGCTTCCAGTAGAGAAATTACAAATACTGTTCCCAGCTCTCGGCACAGAAATGCTCTTCTCTACCCAGCAAGTCACAGATCCTAAGAAATACCTCATCACTGGAGAGTAAGTACATGGCTCCACGAGATATTAAGAGTTCCTGTGAGGTGTGAACTACTCTTGACTGGAAACAGAGGAAGGGACCGGGATCAGTGCTTTGTGTGATCAAATCCTGATTTATGATTTCCCTTTCACAGCTTCAAAGCCACCAAGATCCACTAAAACAATAAAACCACGTGCGTGTTTTCCAGATCACAGATGCACCCCCTCTTAGGTTACTTCACCCCCTTTGGCCTGGCTGTCTCTGTCATCAGGGCCCAAAGAGGACTCAAAGGAAATTGCAGATATTCGGTATTTCATGCAGTGAGGCCCTAAAGACTGCATTTCTGTGTTTTCACACACTGTCTGCATGGTGGATCACCCACACTAGTTTAAGCTAACAGTACTTGCAAAATAAGTCCTGAGTTAATGAGTCAAACATCAGAGGCAATGGGCTACTGAAGTAGCGTTGATTTCACCCCACTATTTTGTACGCATATAGAGAATATTCTTCTGATTTTAAAGGCCCATGGAAAAGAAATTGTTCAGTGCTTTCAATTTATACATGTTAAAATATGCTAATGTTTTTCCAGATGGTACTTTTTGAAGTACATCAGACTTCTAGTGTAGCTGTATTGTATTAGATAGTAAACACATCAATAGCTATATCAATTTTATTTTATATACATTTTATAAATGTTTGCAAAGCTTCGAGCCTGAAATCCTGCATTCCTGAATCAACTTATATGGCTAAACTAAACTCACTAACTCCCAGTATCTTAGCAGCACTGGTATTTTTAATAAAGTGTTTATGAATTAAGGTAGCAAAGTTCCTGTCAAGTCAACAGTCAAATGAGTAAAAAATTAGTGACAGTAAAATAAAAACTGAATGAAACTTACTTGGGAATTGTAGAGATTGCTTAAAGAAGAAGGTTTTTGACAATTTCCTCCTAATGAAGACATTTGCTGCTAAAACTGCTTTGTATAGTGATACTTTATGTAAATATATTTATTAAAAAAAAAGTCAGTAAACTATTTAACTGGCTTTGCAGTCACTAGGGGTCAGTGCAGGCACAGGAATGGGCTTGAACATCTCCTTCATTAGCCTGCCCTTGATTCCAGCTCCCCAAAGCTAAAGCCTCTTTGCAGAGTTCTGCAACGGCTTTAAATTAAGAGAAAAGGACCCCATAGTCTTGTTATGCTTCCTAAAGGCCAGCTCAGGGGAGAGGTACAACAACCTATAATCAGAATCACTAAATAGCTGTTCTTGTCTCTTAAAACATAGTGAGGAGGTAATCCTACTACTCCTTCATCCTACACACTTTCCAAAAGGCATTTCTGTTAGCTCCTGATCTGGACATCTCTCACCACAGCTTCTTCTTCAGGGACACCGTCTTTGAAAAGAGGCATTCCCAGACCGAGTGTCTCTGTTAACCTATCCAGTTTGGAAACCTTTTAGGTAATATTAAATGCCCTTTCTTTTCACATTCTGTTTGTGGTTTGGTTTTTTTTTTTGTTTTTACAGGTGAAAGGAATGATAGAAGCATGCTACTGTCGTATGTAATATTTGAGGCACCTGAGGGTACACCTATTATATGTAAAATACATGGAAAGTCCTGCTGCTTCTTTCGTCTTTTTATTTCCTGAGAAAAAGACAGTTAGGCAGAACTATATTTTAAAATTTGAAGGACCTTTTGAGAAGGTAAGGTGAACATCTGGGACTTTTTGCTTGGTTTAAGAACACATATACAAAAGACAGTGTTGAGTTTTATGTGACACATTTTTCTTCCCATGCACAAAAGCAATGTCTTCAAAGCTTGGTGTCCTTGTTGTTGCTGTTCATGCATGATGAAGGCTTATTAATGAATTTCCACTGTAAGCATAGGATGTGCTTCTTAAATCTTCACAATGTCTTCTGCCCCCCAGGAGAATCTGCAGAGCAGATTTTGAAGATTATACTGCCTTACAGGAGTATGCACCAAGCACAACGTACTCTGACATGACCCATGGTAGTTGTATTGACATCAACACAATTCATACTCTTAAATTTAAGTGTATTTTGAGTGATCACAGCAGAGGACTCGGTGGCTTCCAAGGTTTTCACTGCAGTATGCATTGCAGCCTGCCGATTGATACTGCTCTTAGAGATGAATGAGGATGTAAAATCCAGCAAGACTTTAACTTCCAAAGAAAAATTTACAAACAGGGCAAACAGAGAATTGTAGGAGCAACAACAAATTACAGAAACATGACAATCATTTGCAAGTAAGATAAAACATGCCTTATACCAGCTTTTTCGTTTGGTCAGTGCTAAACAAAATCTTTGTTCTGTTGACATAGGGAGTACCTGGTGATGAAGGGAAAATGGAAGTCTTGAATAGCTTGTGTTCAAAAGTACCAGACAATTAACATTCAGAAATTATATTTTTGTTCTGGGGGATTATTCGCTTTATTCCATCATGTTTA